TTTTAGGCACTCGTCACTATGCATAGCTTAATTAACTTAATTTAATTTCCTAACTTTAAATCTGATTATATTTATAACACTGATAATCATATATTATAGGTATCTTCCAGTAATAACAAATGTATGATAAAATTCCTGGACTCCAGTTTATCCTTCAATAGAGTGGTAGAGAGAATTCAATAATATCCTTGCCAGAAAGCTGAACCTGCTTCTAACACTGGCCCAGTTGTTCATTCAACTGCAGAGTAGTGGAAAGCTCCAAACCACTTTCTTCATTTTACATTCCTTCCTTCCAAAATATGCCATTATTTTAAATATATCTGTGTCAACCTATTATTTTTCCTTTACAAATTATTTTATGACATGCCATGTTTTGCTATATAGCATATATTTGATTTTTATTTTTCAATTTTAAATTTCAAGTTAATAAAATTATGAGTAAGATTGAAACCAATTTCAAAAGGTATTTAAAGTTTGAAGTTTAGTCCTTAGTTTTTAATCACTTCTTACTTTATAACAAGTAAGTAAATGTTGATTAAATTTTCAGTAAATATAATTCTCAGGATGTTCCTAAAGGTATTAGCATAATCTAGTGTTTCTTTAATAAGGTTTTAAACATGAAGATCTTGATAAACTAGTATAAACAGACACTTAATGAACAAAAATTATTGTGCCCATATTAAGTTCTAAATGTTACTCAATTCAAACTAACAAAAAAAATCTTAATCAAGTAATGCTGGTTAATGATACTGTGAAAATTGTTCATGTTGTCTCATATGACCAGAAGTAACTGCCGTGTAACTAATTACATTAAAATAATGCAATTTGAAGCATATTAACTGTGACATATTGGAATTTTATCTAGTTTGCCTAGTATTGTATATCATTATCATGAAAACCAGTCATTTTTTATAACATTGTAACAAATAAGAACCGTAAAAGGCACAAAAAAATTACGTGGACATTTTAAAAATAAGCGTTGATCTAATTTTAACTCTTTGATAAGTCCATGGAAAGTAAATTCTTTATTTTGCGTCTTGGATGACAATATCCTTCTCACTAACACTCAAAAGCTACTTGATCTCCGCCCCAGGGTTAGGAAAGCATCTCATGGTATCCTAATAGGGCCATGCCCTGTGCCTATTGAGACCGTGTAGAGAGAAACGGTGCCAAGAATGTGCCAAACAAAGGTCTGATGTTAACTCAACTGCTTTCACAGCCTAGGAAGCCTGCTCTTCTTTAGTGTCCTCCTCATTGTGCATTAATGCGCACTGTCAGGTTAGTTCTGTTTGGTCAAAACTCTGCCTACCGCCATTAAAAGCACAGTCTGATATATTCTACAGACAGGTAGCCTGTCCACTGAGGTGTAGTGAAAATCCACTGACAAACTGGGATCTAGTGTAGAGGAAGCTTCTGAACCAGGAAGCAAGGACTAAAACAGCGTATTGCAGAAGTCAAGTTTTAAAACGGCTATGCAGAGAAAAAAACAATTTGAAATACATGATTGTTCTACAGAATACCCCTGAGAAGATGGCATTGTCAGACCCATTTAAAGGGCAACGGCCCCTGGGTTCAAGTCCTTGTTACTCAATGTAAAACGGAATAAAAATTTACCAAGGTTCAATACCTACCATATATTTTTATTATATTTTGAGAAACTTAAAATGAAACGTTAGTTGACTCTAATTATGGTTGTTTTTAAGAAGCAAATGAGCACAATTATAACATGATTACACATAATGTCATGGCTTGACTCTGCAGTGTTCCCCACAGGCTGATATTTTGAGCACAAGCTGCTTCCTTCACTTTCACCTCCCTGTCCTGCTGTTCTGAAACTGTGGGTTAAATAAATCCGTTCTTGTTTAAGTAACTTCTGTACAATATTTGGTCACAGCGCTGAGAAAAGGAGCTAAGATAAGCTGTCAAGGTCATATGCTGGATGCTCAACACAAGTACTTAGAGAGGCAGCCTGCTTCGGATGACTTTATACCCTACCATTCCAGATAGCTCATTATAAGTTAAGAAAGAAATTAAAGATAAAACCATCATTGTAAGTCTCAGGGATCATCAAGGAAAGGGAAGCAGAGAGAATCTAAGAGCCAGCGTTGGGGGGGCCATGTTGTGAAGTCTTTTCTTCTAGACATGACATGTCTGCCACACTCATGAACTCATCATGGCTGAAGTTATCCAGACATGATCTGCAGCCCCATCAAGCCAGCCAGAACCCCAGCAGAGATGGGGTAGATGATCTTCAGGCCCTGTTATTGCTGAGAAGCTAATGGCAGCAGGTGGTGTCTGGAGAAGAAAGAACCATTGTTTTTCGAGGATGTGACTATTGTCCGGTTTTCCATTCTTCAGTGGATGGCCCCACACATGTTAACTGATGCACACAGTTTGGGGTGAGGGAAATGTAGTGCCATCCTTGGGCTGATAGGCTGAGAAAGCGGTGGGGGCAGGGGGACAAAACAAACAAGCAGTAGTAATCTGCTGCACTCTTTCATGATGTCTGTTTCCATTCCAGCCTCCAGACTCCTGACTTTCTTTGCTGATGGACCATGTGTAAGCCAAATAAATCCTTTCCTCCCCAAGTTGCTCTTGCTCTTGATATTTTATCACAGCAATCAAAACTGTAACTATGGCACCTACTCACTGTTCACATCTGTGCAGTACCAAAGTACTAACTGAACTTGGTGGAATACTCACAAACACACACACACACACACACACAAACACACAAAATTGGCAACGTTGGGAGCATATAGGGTAAGCTGGTGACAGAAAATGGGTAATAGATATGATCATATTTTATTTTAGACATGTATGAAATTCTCCAAAATAAAAATATTAAAAATCTAAAGTATATGGGTAGCATATTTTAAGTATGCCAGGTACATTTTGTCTCTGTATGTGTACATGTATGTGTGTTCGTTCTTGTGACTACAGATGCTTGTGTTTTATGGTATCATTGTGGTGTGTTGAAGACAAACCCTCTTGTTGGTCTTTGCCTTCTGTTTTGGTGGAGATAGGCTCTTTATGACCTGTGAGCTTCTGGGACTCTCTTCCCTATATAACCCACCTCACTGTGGGAGCACAGGGCTTGCAGATAATACTAAAAAGTGTGCTGGGTTTTATGAGAGTTCTGTGATCCGAACTCAGCCTCGTGCCTTTAGAGCAAACACTTACCTACTGAGCCATCTCCCCAGCCAGCATCAGCTTTTTATTTTTTAATGCTTCTAACACCCAATGGCACTACACAGGAAGGCAGCATTTAAAGAAATTCACCACCTCATTGGGAAAAGATCTACACTTTATATTTTCTTTGCTTTAACCTGTGGACAGTAACAAGTGCATTCTGACTTCCCCCACCTGCTATTTTAGTGACGGTTTTGATATCTGGTTTTATTCAGTGCGCATTTTACTCAGTAATGAGAAGAAATTCTTTATTTTACTAATAAGATTTGACCTTCTAGGAAGCTTAGCTTGCCTTTTTATAAAAAATAGTTAATGACATGTGTTCAATAGAACTTTAGCTGCTTAAAAACATGTTTCCTTTTAAATTCTTAAAGCACTATTTCAATTTGAAAATAGAAACTTGTAAAAGTTTAAACAAATAGAATTTCCATGAGTACTATCACTGATATATTATACTTGTATAATAATTTATATTAAGACAAAGCCCAGTATTAAACAGCCGTATTGCTGAAAGTACTTACTGTGGGGATGTGAGGCTTACGGTTCTCCCTAAGTTACTGATCTAAAGAAAACAAAAGCTGAAGGTAAGGATTTTCAGTCTTTGGTTAGAAATGTTACAATTCGAGGGGTATAGGATAATTTCTGTGTCCATTTCATTATAAAAGCAAGTAGGACAAGTTAATAAGCATTAATTTCTAGCCTGGGCTATAATAAGCCTGTCAAAAGAATAATAACAGAAACGTGACCCATAATATTTCAGGCGAAAAATCTTGAGAAAACGAATGTGTATTCTGACATGTCCCCCAGGTGAGGCTACTTTTCATGAAGTTTTATAAGAAAATAAAATAGAATTGATGCACTTATCACCCCAAGAGTAGCTCATGTGCACATACCTATCAAAAATCGGGCTTCCCAGGCTTTCCTTATGTTGTGAGGTACAGAGTTCCCCATTCAGTCTTGTTGCAATCCGTGTTCTCCTGCATCTGCCAGCTCTCCTCCTCCCCTCCCCACGTCTTCTTCCTTTCTCATTGAAGGCCATGAATTCTTACAGTGATTTTTAAAGTCCAAAGTATTTCGCCCTTCATCATACTATTTTGTTTGCTAATTTCAGTCATCCTGAACCCAATCTGCTTCTACTAACGGCAATTTCATGATGGTGCTTTCCTGTTAGATACAATTAAAGATAGTCTGTCATTTATTCTGAGAAATGGTTTTACATCATCTTGAGAACTAATTTTATGATTAACAAGAAACAGTTGTATGTCTATTCTAAATGTTACAACTTGTATGGTGTACATGGTAGTTAATACAAACAAATCCTGTTTCACAACTAACCTGGTTAAAAGACAAAACAGGCAAACAAAAATTATTAAACTCATGAAATGTTTTTTGTTCCACTACTAGTCCCATATCGCTTTCTTCTCTTCTGTGTTCTATCCTCTTCTCTCTTCAGAAATTTTAAGCTATTAAAAAGTGCCCATTTGTCAATTATTTCACTAGCTATTTTCTACATGTTACCACATACAGGACCAGTGATGTTATTAACTCACTACAATATTCCCTGCAAAAGCAAGACTATAAAGCTCTAAGAGGTCTAGCCACTAAGATCTCCTATCATTATAACAAATGAAGAAAAAACGAAAGGAGCACTTTATGAGGGAGACATATGCTACCAATGATGGTAAGAGGAAAGCTGGTGGGACTGCAGGCGTGCCTCGGGGGGTGAAGGGCTTGCTGTGCAAGCACAAGGACCTCAATTCAAACCCCTAGAGCCATATAAAGCGGGGTGTGTTAATACATGCCTGTATTCTCAGTGCTTCCGTGGTGAAATGGCAGGTGAAGATGGGAGAACCCACGAAGCTCACAGGTGGCTAAGCCTGCTATTCACTGAGGCAAACAGCAGAATGACCATGTCTCAGAAAGGTGGAAGGTGAGAACCCAAACTTGAAGTTGTCCTTGGACCACCGTGGAGCACAGTAACTTATGCCGCACACGTACAAGCGTCATCTGCTCCACAGGAAAAGAAAAAAGAAGGGGACAAAGACAAGGAAGAGGAGAAGGTGGAGAGAGATGAAGGAGGATAGGAGAACAGGACAGAGGAAGTAAGGAAAGAGAGAGGAGAGGGAGAAAAGAAATTAAGTTAAGGCTCAGACATTCAGGTGTGTGTGTGTGGCCAGCAGAGTACCACCAAACACTCCCCAGAAGCCACAACATTGTTCTGGGTTGCTTCAAGGCGTCACTCTACAAAACACACAGAAGCGACATTGAAAAAAAATGTATTAAACATGTTTACCTCACAAATTAATTATTATACAAAATACATGTAACCCAGTTTTATTTCTGAAGGTTCCATGACCTTTGAATAGCATTTTGAAAAATAATGAGCTGTAATTATAGCTTGTTACATTTTTAAACAGAAGAATTTTTATCTCTTCTACCCTCCAGAGCTTACTAGGAAGCAATTCAATGACAGTGGGAGGCGGGGAAAGAGGTCTGCAGCTCTTTACATAAAAGCAGTGGGGGATGGACAGGGAGAGATGCATCTGGGCTTAATAGGGCTCGCTGCTGCGCCAGAGGACCACAGCTTGGTTCGAAGCACCTACATCAGACAGTTTACAACTCTTCAGCTTCAGAACCTTCTTACGCTCTCTCCCAGACTCCTCAGAAGGACAAACACTTACACAGATTTGCACACACAAATAAAGGAAAAGAATCGAAAAGAATAATAGATGGCAATGATAAAACTGTTATTTAAATATGATAGTGACCACGAGATCACAAAGCTCTGGCATTACTACTCTAAGATGGATTTTCGTTTGACAAGTTACATACTATCACTCAGGTCACTGATTTCTAGGGAGACAGCACATAATAGACATAAGAACATGCATAATAAACCAATTGGTTAATTGGATCATAGTAGTTAATACAATTATATGTTTGGATAACATTTAATCATAAATATAAATCTGAAATTCTAGAAATTATTAGACTATAATGCAACTCCCAAGCTAAAGAATATTGCTATATTTTAATGTGAATTTTTGGCTCCTCACCAAATCACTCATATTGGTTACTTGACCAATCTGGAGTTGCTAGTTTTAATTTTGTGTTTCTGTTCAAAGTGACTAGCATTCACAACAAAGCACACAGAGAAGTAAATTATAAAGGAATAATTCTCATATGATTAGTATTGTTTAAGAGTGGTGAGCCAGGGAGATAGCTCAGTTTTCTTAATGCCTATCCTGCAGACATGATGACCTAAGTTTTGGTCCTAATATTCACATAAGAAGAGGTGGTGAACATCCAAAGCCCAGGGTGGATGATGAGACAGAGACTGTTGGTCTCTCTGAACAGCCAGGATTGCTTAATCAGTAGGTTTCTTTTCTTGTGGAAGATCCTGTCTCAAAAAAAAAAAAATTCTCAATGTACATCCATAATAACAAGGACATATAATACACACACACACACACACACACACACACACACACACATATACCACACACACACCACACCACACACACACACATACCACACACACACCACACACACACACAAAACACACACCTTATGAAACACCACTCAAAGAGAACACACACATAACACAACACACAAACATATGCAAATTGACTAATAAAATGTGTACTACATCAACATGCCCTTATCAATATTTTAATATTCTTTCTTTGTCTATTATACTTAGGGCTTTGATTATTATGTGGCATGGGGATTTTTTTCATCCAATCTCTTTGGTGTTCTGTAAGCTTCTTTTACTGTTATAGATATACCCTTCTTTAGGTTATGAAATTTTTCTTCTATGATTGTATTGAATATATTTTCTGGGCATATGAGCTAGGATTTTTCTTTTCATATTCTTATTATTCCTATGTTTGGTCTTTTCATAGATTCCCAGATCTCCTATATATTTTGTGTCAGAAAGTTTTTTAGATTTAATGTTTTATTTGACTAATGAATCTATTTCTACTATCTTATCTTTAATACCTGAGATCATCTCTTGTATTCTGTTGGTGATGCTTTCATCTGTAATTCCTGTTTGCTTCCCAGATTTTCAGTACTTTTTTTTTTAACATTATTTTGTCATTTTGGCAACTTTTAAACATTATCTATAAAAGAATCACATGATATATATCATTCTTGACTGGCTTATTTCCCTCAAGATTATGTTTGAAGAAATTGTTATTTTGTTATATATAGCTATATCATGTTTTTGTCTCCATATATAGCTCCATTCTTCGAATACATCCATCGTAATTATTTATCTGCACAGCAAACACATCTCATATAGCTTGAGAGCATCACAGGGACAGTGCCCCTGTGAACGTCCTCATGTACTTATGCTGTGGTGACAGTAAAAGAAACTGTTTCAACACCGTGAATCTAATTTCTCAACAAAATCACTGCCAATGAAGTTTTTGAGCACATATTTTCTGGCTGTAATTCCTAAAGTTTGGTGTGGTAACTGTTTGTGACAGTTGAGAAGAAGCTGTTGTAACACAAGCCTTGAATCTCAACACACACTAGGCAGGGGCAGACGAATCTGAGTGAAGTTGAGGCCTGCCTGGTCTACACAGCGATTTCCAGGGTAGCCAGTGCTAGACAGACATAGTCTCATATAACAAACAAAATAAGCGAACAAATAAATTGAAGCTCGAGTTTGATCAAAGTTTTAAGTAAGGTAATAAAACTTAAATTGCTCGTTTCTCAAAATCTCAAAATCTGAAAGTTTTCTTGAACTTTGATGAGTTTCTGGGCGTTCTTGCTTATGCCAAAAATTACCTTCTTTCATCTAGGTACAGGCTGTGAGTGTCAAGACTCTAAAAATATCTGAAATGAATTTTGTGATTCTGTAGTGTTCATGTAGGTATCTTTATTGATTGCAGTCTGTCATGGTTGTTTTCATTTTCCCACTTACATGAATAAAATTATCAAGTATACATTCTCTTTGCAAAAAAATTCTTCAGGTAGTCATGTTTGTTTGAATATTCATGTGTTAATTTAAAGTTGTTTCCTATTTATTTCTTTTTTAAAAATATTTTTTATGGTTTATTTAACTTTATTTTATGTGCATTGGTGTGAAGGTGTCAGACCACCCGCAACTGGATCTTCAGACCGTTGTGAGCTGCCATGTGGGTGCTGGGAATTGAACCCGGGTCCTCTGGAAGAGCAGTCAGTACTCTTAACCATTGAGCCATCTCTCCAGCCCCTCCTATTCATTTATGAGTAGTACTGTATTACAGACATAACAATGCATTATCCCTTCATTTGTTGATGGAAAGTTGTATATATTTAGATAATCTTTTCATTGTGTGCTAGTACTATGAATCATATTAACTTTTAAATAAGTTTCTGTAGGACCATATGTCTACATTGTTTGGCGGCCAGACACTCAGGCCAAAGTTTGCACCTGGCCACACAGAAGGCGGTCACCTAACCTTTCCAGGAAACCTTCTTTATAATTATGGAGATTGCCTGGGAAGAGGTGTTAATTCAGGCTACTTAAAATAGTTGCAAACATGACCTTAGTCCTGCTACCCCGGAAACAGAATGTCAATGAACTTCCCCCTCAGTTTACCTTTTGATGTAAAAGCTGTTTGGATAATAAATGTGGGTGATATTCAGGATGTGAACGAACCCTGAGACTCCCTTCTTATATTGCTGTGTGAGCTGTGCTTTCGTTATTCCCACGCCTCTACAATAGTCTGAGAGATAATTTATGTCAAGGCTGGACCTCGACAGGTTTGAACTGATACTGAAGAATGAAATTCTGTTTTATGAAATGATGTGATACATTGGTAAATGTATGTAATTATGTCTGAAATAGCTTAACGACTTCCTTCAAAGGTCTATCAAGGATTCAACAATCCTTTTTCTACCCATTTGCCCAAACAATATTGCTGTTACTTTTCATCACCCTTCTGTATAATAACATAAATAGGATTCTTAATCTAACTGTAACCTCATGCTCATTGATGATTCTGTCCTTCACACCCTCCCTCCCTCTCTCTCCACCTTCCTCTGTTTGGATGAGCTACTTTCTCCATCTCTGTCAAACAATATGTGATTCAAAACAGAACAACCATTTTCCATTCCACACGTGAGTGTGACCCTGAATCACTGTCCTTCCTTGCCTGACTTTACAGGTAGCATAATGATTCCCATTTGTGCCATGTTGTGGTCAAAGTTATCAGCTCCTTTTTATTGCTAAATCGTGTGCGCTAGTTTGTGGGTCATATCCTGAGACACTCATCAGTTGGCTGGACAGTTTGTGTCTCACATCTTGGCTACCATGAACAATGCACAGTAAACAAGTCAGTGTAGATGTCTCAGTATCTTTGGCCATGTATGCAGCAGTGGGATGCTCTGCCATAGGGAAATTCTGGCAAAGTGTACAAGCTTCCCTTCTCCATTTCCTGCCAGCACTTGCTCTCCTTGCCATTGGATGATGGCTGTTTTTACTGGAAGGAGGGGATTTCTTCTTGTGTTTTTGACTCATGTTGTCTGGTAACTAGTAATATGGTAAGCCAGAAAACTGCATGACATGGTTCATTTCTACCGTTTCCCTTAATTGCATGAACATACATCCTCACATCTTTATAAAATTAGTGGTAATTAGGCTTCTAGAGGTGAGTCACTATTTTAAGCCTCATTGCCTTTTGCTTTGGGATTGGTAAAGCCACGAGATTAATGACAGGAGCATATTTTAGAGATTAAGTACAAGAGGATATTTAAGTATCTTGACATATACTTAAAATCCAGTACCATTTTTTAATTTTTCATGTCATTTAGAATATCTTTGAATTAAAAATAATACACTATTTTGTGGTAGAAAGAACTTAAGAGACATTTCAGATAACATGAAATGAGTTTGTTGGGTTGCTAGCTACAAGTATCAGTGAGCCATACGAACTCATATCTTCAAGTATTAGAAAAAGTGCAATGTTAAAGGTGGAGATATTTTCATAAATATAAAAAGGTCGTACATTTCTGTGATGCTATCCTTTGCCTTTGCACAAGGATTTTACTTTTAGTTTCAAATTTTATCATGTGCTTCTCATTCTCCAGATGGGTTATGTGTACATACAAAGTCTCTGAAGCAAATCCCTTATCTGTAAGATGAAAATTTAAAATCCACCTAAAAACCCCCTTACAATTTAATGGAAAAAGCATATTTTCACGAATAAACTAGGACATTTTTAAGAGCCACAAGAACAGCTTTCATATTGTCCCTGTGAATACATGAAGTTAAATGGATAGTGTCACAGTATTACCACAAGATTCATAAAAGTGTGTTTCCATACTATGCATGTGGGATGTTTAAACAGACTGTGCCAAGGAGCCTTAGCAATGACGTGAACAGCAGAAGCAGGCTGTATTTTGTGGTGCTCCAGACAGTTGTATTTCAATAGAACCATTTTCCTTCCACAGATATCATCTCACAGCCACTAGAAAGTATTTGAGGTATCGTCTAGCCTGTATTAGGAGTGTTCACAGTTAACGGCAGCCAGACTAACCTGATACAAGAATGCCAGAAGCAAAGCAGCAGGCACTGGGCTTTCTGAGACTCTCTATAAGAAATGCTAAATGTCATAGTGCATAATTTATCAATGTCAATAGCTTTCAGCACAGATCTGAGGGGGATTAACCTATGCAGCCAAACTATCTATCATATCACAATATTTAATTGCATACTTTTAATTAATAAGAGGCCAATCTAATGGCTTCATGAATGCAGCTGATCAATCCTTTTTTAAAATATCTTTAATTTTATATGCATAACTGTTTTGCTTGCATAATATGTATGTGCACTGTGTGCAAGCCTGGTGTCTAGGGAAGTCAAAAAAGGATGGCAGATGCTCTGGAACTATAGCTAAGGATGATTGTGAACCTGCATGTGACTTCTGTGAACTGCATCCATCTCCTCTGCAAGCGCAACAAGTGCTATGAACTATCGAGCTACTTCTCTAGTTCCAGACAGATCTTTGTTCTGTCTGTTTCTACACTCTGAGTCCTTTTAGTGGGCTTATGGCAATCTTCTACATCATTATCAGCATGAAAATCATCAGGTGTATTGGCGTTTTACAATGGCATTGGATACAGCTGATCCTGGAAGTACAAATCATATGGAATCTATCAAACTAGCACATTGTAATACCCATCAAAAAAGGTTTTAGCTGGTAGTTCACATGAGCAAAATCTATTCTTTTTTAAATTTCACTTTTTTGAGATTATATCATTTTTCCTTTCCCTTTCTTCTCTCCGAACCTTCACACGCGCCCCCTGAGTTTGAAGTATGCTGTTCTTCTCGCTCTTGGAAAGAGAGGCAAACAGATCCTACAGGAAAGTCCTTTGCTACAGTTGCTGTCAAAAGATATTTTATTA